CCTGAGGGTAGTGGTCACCGGAGGAGGGGTGGGTAATCGAGAATTCTGAATCCCACCGGAGGGTTAACTTTTTGTCAAAGATTTCGCTTAGAATGTGATTACTTCTTAACTGTACATCTTTTGTTAGAATTTAAGGCATTTATAATTTTATGATCAGAACTATTTTTCGATTAGTAAACCTTCATTCGATTTTTTCATTATCAGTTTTTTATTAGTTTGGTTGGTTTGGTTATGACAGTTTAATTTTATAATTTAAAAATTATAAAATTGAATTTAAGGGATTTGTCATTTTATTTTATGAACAGAACTATTTTTTTTATAAGTAAACCTTCATTTGATTGTACATTATCAGCAAGTTGGGTTAGGTTATGACAGTTAAATTAAATTTAAATTTAACCTACAAACGATACGTTTTGACAGCGACGGTGATAGAGCTAACAATTTGCCGCGAACAGTTCGGCTATGCACGGAATGATGCAGAAGCATTCTACTCCAACCTAGAACTGACAGGTCAACCGACCGTGATTAAGAGGATTACAGCCTGGGATGAGCCTACACCCGGTTGCCGCAAACCAATTTTAAATATTTCAAAAGTTAAGGGGGGCGCAAGCTAATTTTCAGCCACCCTGTATGTGTCCGTGAACGCGATAATTCGAGTAGTTTTTATACGATTTTGATGAAATTTGGTTTAAAGGTGTATGGTGGGATAAACTTGAATGAGTTCGCTAACCAGCATGATCAGATGACCATGGGAATGGGGTTTTAATAGGTTTTTCTCATTTTTGACCCTCAAAACACAAATTTCCCAATTTCTCTCTAGACCCTTAAGAGCTTAAAAATATAAATAATTTGTATACCAAAGTGTTTTTGTACGGTTATTGGTAACGGAGAAAATTCAAAAAATTGTAAATTTGAAATTCCCATGTTATATTTATGGAGAATATTGGTACTCCAATATACTTGTTAAACCTAGTGTTATTTAAATAGATTTAATTGAAAATCAATTCAGACAAATGGAAATTCGCCAAGTTGGCAGGTTTGCTGTGGCGGCTGCATTTAGTTGTAAAATAGGGCAAACCTCACTATCTTAGCCTTATTCTACCCCATTTTACAACTAAAAATCGTAATATTTAAGCTATTTATTATTCAATCTTTTTAAACTTGGTATCATTTACTTCTTCATTATGATGTCCCCAGAGGCCAAGAACACTATTCGTTCAAATTTTGTATATATTTATATACGTGAACGTGATAACTCAAGTAATTTTGGTCAAATTTTGATGAAATTTATCTTGAACTCTGGGTACATGAAGGTACCTTGAATACATGGGTACCTTGAATGATTTCGTGAACCAGCATGATCGGGTCATAGAAACTATGGGTGTTTGGGTTTTTTCTTTTTCAACAATTGGTTAATTTACACTTTACACTTTAACAATTGGGTTCCATGTTTTATCATTGAAACATGGAAATGCCCAATTTTTATTACAATAATTGTGTAGTGCTTAAAAAAAGTAAAATAAATAATTTTGTTAAATGTTAAAGCTTATGGAGAAAATAAAAAAATAACTGAAGCATTTGGTAAACAAAATTTATTTTTATTTTCCGTTTGTAGCAAACTTAAAGTAGGTACCTACTTCAAATCAAATAAAAATCTCCTTTATTCATAAATGTACAAGTACAATGAATAGTCAGTGAAATCTACTTGTTAAATCTACAGTAGGCCTAAATGCATGGGCGTACACAGAGAGGGGCAGCTGCCCCCCCCCCCCCCAATTTGAGATCCAAGAAAAATGTTATTAGTATGAGAAAAGATGAGTAAGATAGTTTACATTTTTGTGACAGTTTTTTATGACATTTATTTACACATGTTATACATTTTTTATTAGTTTCTGAGTTATTCTTCAATAAAATAAAAATGCCAACAGTAGTAATAAACAGTCCAATTTCTTGCAATATGTATAAACAAACAACTTTGTGTAGTAAAATGAATTAATACAAGCTGCTATACCCGTGCTTTGCAACGGGAAGAAAATGTGACCGAGAGAGCTATTAAAGTGGTGATGATGTGTGTTTTAAAATACAGCAACTCTATGACTTAGTTTTAAAATATAAACTGATTTAAAAGCGTAAACCTACTTACTTTCAAACCCCTACCTTTGACTATTAATACAACAACTACTTTTGATGTTAATAGATCCTTAAGAATATGACAACATACCTTAGTGTAGCAATAACATATAACATCAAATACTTCATATTGATGCTTCATGAATGACATGTTTTACCATAATTCTTAAATTTTAGTCAAGCCTCTTCACATGTAGCTTACTACAAAATGAAACTTTGAGCAATACTTTACAAAACGTATACAACCTCACTTTAAAACCAAACATAACCCTCCTCAACCTACATAAAGCGTAACAAACATATTTTTCGAGTAAATAAATAAACACCAGTTCCTTGTACTGACCAGCTGTTTCATTAACTAAATTAAATTAAATCATTTAAACATTGGAAGCATGCCAGGCGTAGCCCTTTGGAAATCAGCCTGTGGGGCAGAGCCCTTAGGAAATTCGTCCATATCAATACTTTTCGGCAAATCTACACAACCTAAGCTTCATTTTGATGTGCCATATGCCTATATTTTTATTTGGTAAATTACCTTAACCGTTTACATAAAATTTGATTGTATCACTTTAATAATATAAATAGATATACATAATTTTGTGACATTATTTTGTTTTCATTTGCCTTCAACAATAATGTAACAAACAAAATTGCTCTTACGGCATAAGTCATCAGGCATTCTTCAAAATAGTTTACCATATTATTTCGGGTGTTATAAATGGATGTGAAAAGTTGGCATGGACACAAATCTATTATCTATTATATTATTAAAGTGATACAATAAAATTTTATGTAAACGGTCAAGGTCATTTGCCAAATAAAAATATAGGCATATGGCACATCTAAATTAAGCTTAGAGTGTGTAGATTTGCCGAAAAGTATTGATATGGACGAATATCCTAAGGGCTCTGTCCCACAGGCTGATTTCCAAAGGGCTACACCTGGCATGCTTCCAAAGTTTAAATGATTTAATTTAGTTAATGAAACAGTTGGTCAGTACAATGAACTGGTGTTTGTTTGTTTACTCGAAAAATATGTTTGTGACACTTTCTGTAGATTGAGGAGGGTTATGTTTGGTTTTAAAGAAAGGCTGTATACATTTGGAAAGTATTGCTCAAAGTTTCATTTCGTAATTTATATAGTAAGCTTCATGTAAAGAGGCTTGACTAAAATTGAAGAATTATGGTAAAACAAGTCATTGCTACACTAAGGTATGTTGTCATGTTCCTTTAGATCTATTAAAAGTAGGGATTTGAAAGTAAGTAGGTGTACACTTTTAAATCAGTTTATATTTTCAAACTAAATCATATTGTTGCTGTATTTTAAAACACATCAGCACCACTTTAATAGCTCTCTAAGTCACATTTTCTTCCCGTTGCAAAGCACGGCTATAGCAGCTTGTATACAGTTAAATGTGTATTGTAAAGCTAAGCGACCTGACCCCATTGACGGACATATAGCCACTTTATAAACCAAGACTTTATAAACGCTGGATTATCAAGCTAGGTTTGTTATATTAATGTCTCAAAATAGCGCAAAAAACGCTTATTTCAGCATATTGTTCTTAACATTTTCCCAGGCTGGGGGGTATTCCATACCCCCAGGCCCCCCAGTATGCCACCCCTGTTTCAAGTACGCTCTTGCTCCCCCCTAGTTTTGATCCTGGGTACGCCCTTGCCTAATTGTTAAATTTTATGTTACCAAAATGGGGAATAAATATATCTTGTTTATTTTTCAATAATAATAACAAAAACAAACATTAAAAATATTATATGTAATAACTAGCTGTAACCCGCGGGCTTTGCCCCGTTTAACTTCTTAATTTTCAAGATGATCTCGTTCGCATGGCTCAATCACGTCCTGGTTGAAGTTCGTTCGCTACGCTCACTCACCTTTAGGTAAATAAAAACTAAGCAAGCCCACACTATTATTATTCAATCTTTTTCCACATCATAAATAAAGAGTTGATATAACAAAACTCAACTGTCGTTATATGTCTGGGTGAAAAAATTTACAATTTCAAATGACTTGACCATTAATGCCTCCAAGTAGATTTAGCGGCCCCGTAAGCCGACATGTCGCTAATGGATAGTTGACGTTTCTTAGCTCGCTTGCGGTAGTTCCACACTGTAACTAGTGGACGGAGGGTGAACATGTACACAAGTTCTAACAGGCTGATGACTCCAGCTCCCAGGAATAATGATAGTAAACCTCCCAGGTTACCTGCAAGCAGTGTCACGTCTAAGTATGCAAACACTTCACTAGTCCAGTCGATGACCATTTTCGTTGCAAGTTATTTATCTCATACAGTACCGATTTTCATAAACATTTTGATTTAGGTTCTACTTGTCCTCTATTACAAAGTCTTCCCTGTGCCGTGGTTTGAATTTTCCCTGAGGGGGTGGGGTGCTCCTCCTTTTTAGGGGTGACAATTTATCATTGATAATAAGTGCAGAATTGGATAAATTGAATAGTTTTATGTATTATTTTTATATATTACTTTTATCTTAGTATGAGCAGCCTATTAAATTTTAAAGTGCGAAAAGTCAATGGTATTAGCCTATCTAAACGTTGATATGTACTTACTCAGAATATCATATTTGCTGCCAATACTGTCTGTCATTTTTGACTCGACTCCTTTCTTTGGATAATGAACATATACAATCGCTAAATCCAATCTGTAACATATTAATTTTTTTAAAGACCGTTCTCAAATTGAAATCTAAATAGGTAACTTAAGTTGTGATAACTCACTAAGGCAACTTAACTATTGAAATAACTAGCAAAACTACATTTTACATAAAAATATGGGGTTTTCATTATGACTATGTACGGTATGTACTTTGATACCGTACTTAAATTTATGGTACTCACAAAGGGTGAATCCTCTTGTGTTTTTTAATGTAAAGCATCTCTGAACTATAATTAATGCCACTACAGCTGGGTAGACAATCACATTTTGAACTGATGTTTTCTGCAAGTGTGGAAAAAACACAGTAAATCTCTTACTTTGATAAAATTAAAAAATACCCCTCCCTGCAGTAGCACAAAATTACTAGCCAAAATATATTATTAAATAATAAGCACTAGTTTGATAATATTTTGCATTTATATCCCAGACAGCACACGACATCGATTTGACGTCTAGATCAAGTATACCAAGTTAATCTGATGTCTACGTGTATATATATATATCTACTTCTATTAGATGTCTGCGTTAAAATTTCAAATGAACGTTCAGCTACAGACATCGTATCATAGACAAAAAGAATTAAATATAGACCGTCAGCTGTGCTGCGGTTACCATAGCTTCTGGTGCACACTACTTGGAGCGCCATGTATTTACGGCGTACGCGCTACGTAAACTACAGCGGTGTGCGCCGGAACCTATGGTAACCATGGTAACCGCAGCACGGCTGACAGTCTATATTTAATTCTTTTTGTCTATGATCGTATATACATCCACTAGCTGTACCCGCGGGCTTTGCCCCGTTTAATTTCTTAATTTTCAAGATGAGCTCGTTCGCATGGCTCAATCACGTCCTGGTTGAAGTTCGTTCGCTACGCTCACTCACCTTTGGGTTGGAGCTCGTTCGCTGCGCTCACTTGCCTTCAGGTTAGCTCGTTTGCTACGCTAACTTGCCTCCAGGTAGAAGTTCGTTCGCTACGCTCACTCACCTTTTGGTTGTAAATTAGCTGTTGTCATAAATTTAAAAAATTAATAGTGCTGCACCCTGTTGGTAATACTTGTAACTTTAATGCTATTGAACATCATAGAACAGAACCAACTTGTTTAATTGAAACAGCTGTTAAGATTCATTAATTCCTTTTCAATATGAAAAATCATAAGGTTAACATGGGAAACCCCAGAGCCACTGGGGCGGAGCCAGAATCAGAATAAAAACTACTTAGTTTTCCTATTTAATGCCCAAAGAATCGGTGTACCAAATTTCAGCCTCCTAGGTAAATGGGAAGTGGGAGAATTAGTGATGAGTGAGTGTGTCAGTGAGTCAGTGAGTCAGTGAGGGCTTTGCCTTTTATAAGTATAGATTATGTTGATAGATGTATACATGACGTGTGCGCCATAACATCTAATAGACGTTGTAAAGATGTCATAGAAAGTAAAACACAATTATTTGATGCTTTACAACGTCTATTAGCTGTTATGTCGCAAACGTCATGTATACATCTATCAACATGGATTATGTATATACGATGTCTGCATCTGAATGTTCATTTGACATTTTAACGCAGACATCTAATAGACGTAGATATTAGGGCTAGGGATGAAGTTCACATGCAGATGTTTACAATAATTCACAAAATGTTTGCCCACCAGAAAATACCTCTTGTGTAAAAGGAAGAAACAATTTAATATCAATATACAATCTAAATATTATTTGATCTAAAATAATAACAAACAAAATATATTCCATAAAATATGTTGTTTTGTCTTAAATAATTCTAAGGTCATTGCATTTGTAAGGAAAGTATGTGATGGTATTGTAACTTGTTACTACAAAAACTTACGTTGTGCTTCCAAGAGGCATCTGCTTTTTGCCCGATTACACACTGGAGTGTCTCCTTCTCCTGGGAAACAATTCTGGATTATTAAATTATACTTTCAGTCAAGATTTTATTTGGATACTAGACGTACTTATCTTTGTGGTCAAGAGTCCAGCCTATTAATTTTTTTTATAATATGAGGGATATAGCAACGGGCTAATGAGTTTTTGTAATACTCGCCTAGTAATCAGAAAGTTAAGTTGGAAAATTCAGTAGTTAAAGATCTGTTTGGCTCCACTTTATTCAGAGCTCTTAGAAACAATTCTGACTTAAACCTTATGAACTTCATTCAGTACTTAAACTACGTATAGCTATTTTAATCATGCTTCTATCAGAGTCATCTACTGTCCTTTTAGATGGCCTTAACCCGCTAATCTCTTCAATAGATAGGTGAACATCAGACTTGACTAAAGGATTTGCATCCTGAATCTTCATTACTGTCTTCTGCTCAAAGAAACAAGATTCTCGGTTATTTCTAAAAGAAACAATGGCTAATGATAACCCTAGTCAACTAAAAGCATCTAAAAACCCAAACATAATGTTTCTAAAATTTACTCCCAGGCTGCAGCAGATGTCAAGTGTAGCTTACAGACATTTTTCTTGAGCTGTATTTGTATAGATGAGTAGAATTTGGTCAACCTTACATCTCTTTTATCAGCCTTGAAGCTCAAAAAGTTAGGAACCAGATCTTACTCTAAACCAGGCAATTCTCTTAATCATTATAATCACCCATTCTGCACTTGTCTTAACCTTAAAGGTGTGTGGTGTGTTGGAGTACCGGTAGTGAAAATCCTGCCTAATCACACAACAACCTTTGCACTAATTGAGCTTAAAAAAATATTTGCTAGGTTTGACTTTATTGCTAATTTTCACTTATGTATCCTCAATCCAGACTGTGGCTTAGGTTTCAAAAAATTTAAAATAGAACAAATATCCCTAAAAAAAAAACAACCCAATTCTTACTTGGGAGAAAATAAGGAACACAACCGCAGTCTCTTATTGAAATATTCGCTTTACACTCCAGCTCGCAGTTGTGCTTGTTATACACTTGGTAGAATCGTAGCTGTTTCTCTCCGTTGATGTAGCATCCGCGACGTGATGGTGAGAGAGACTCAAGCGCTTTAGAATGCTCAATGACTTCAGGAAACACTTTGATCAGAACTACGGAGTTGTCTTGAACAATGTGGGTTTGTTGGTGCCAGTCAGCCATTTGGTCAGGTGGGTGGATTATTACCTTTGAACATAGCGAATGAATATTAATGACTAAAGGACATGAAAATACCCCCGCCGCAGCAAACCTGCAGACTAAGCGAATTTCCATTAACCTGATTGGATTTACACTATAATGCCTCCATAAAAATAGCACATTTATTTCCTATTTAAATAGAATTAGTTTAACGAGAACTTAGGTTTGCTGCAACAGGGAGGGTAAAAAAGATTTTTTTTTATGATAATAGTTTAGTAAGAAATAAAAGTATTTTCCAAAATCGATCAAAATATGTTCATAAACAAGCAAACTACAACAGTTGACTTATACTCCATAAGAATAACATGGGAATTTTAAAATAACAATTTTTTATAATTTTCTCCGTAAAATTAGGCGCATAATAACGCTTCAATATACTAAATTATTTGTTTTTTTAAGCTCTACAAAATAGTCTAAAAAGAAATTGTGAAATTTTCTGTTTTTAGGGTCAAAAATGGGAAAAACCTATTTTTACCCCATAAAACCCCCCATAAACCCCCGTTCCCATAGTCCGATCATGCTGGTTCGCGAACTCATTCAATTTTATCCCGCCTTACTCCTTCAAACCAAATTTTATCAAAATCGGACAAAAATTACAAAAGTTATCGTGCGGATGGACATATATATATATATATAAAAATTTGAACGAATGGTGTTTTTGGCCTCTGGGTACATCAAAATGAAAAAGTAAATCGGTCCCGGGCTTAGGTCTTACCATGAGACCTACGGTAATAGATACTTCCCTATAGGGAAATTCGCTAATAAACGCATACAGAGAATTAAACATGTTGATGATTAAATGCTATTGGCATTTTTAAAGAGAGGACACTAAATACTTTTTTGGAAAGCAGTCTGAACTTCTTGAATTTTTTTATGCTAGCGATCAAACTCGTCCCACTTGTCTGAGATGCTACACAAATTGGCTAGTAGCACACCTTAGACTGATAAGTAATAAGCCAACTGTCAAAAAACAAAGTTATTGTTTTAAGGACATGGTTATTACAATACATGATCATATTATAATCTATTAACCAAGCCTTCAAGATTTAAAATTATACATAATTTTCTCTCATATGTAAATTAAGTTTGTGTTACTATCTCTAAGAATTGATAATTATATTTGAAAATAATGAAAACAAATCAATGTCTGGGGAGCCAAGTGGATATAGTGCTCGCCTTCAAATCTGAAGGTCGCTGGTTCGATTCCAAGTGAGTTTGTTTCCAGACCAAGATGCCATTTGGTATCAAGCTATGAATAAATTACACTATATCTAACAAAAAGTAGACCAAAATTTAAACCGTTGCCTTTCAAAACATAAAAAAATGACATTGGAAGAAAACACACAAAATTTAAAAAAATTTTAACTGAACCAACTTTCTCACACACCGAAAATGATTTATCTCCAAGACTGCAAGTGTTGTCAAAGTCGTGGGACCGAAAGTTGAGTGTGAACATGGCTCCCCCAACAAGTGACGAGTCGTTGGTTGTCCACGGAGCAGCTGGCATTTGACTTTGCCACTCAAGCGATGAATAGGAATGTTGGCCAGATGAACGAAAAACTGCTTCCACATTTCCTGCCACAGATGAACTTGGTTTGACGGACTGAAAGAGAGAGGAATACCTGAAAACAAACAAATAAATAAAATTGGGAAAGCTGTTCTGGTTCTTTATACATTCGTTGAGTTCAGACATGAGACAAATTAAATGTTTCACAGCTGTCAATGTAAATGAAACGGTTTAGTGTTTCAAATTGATGAAAACATATGGCCTTTGTGTCAAGTTGACAGGAGTTTGAGTCCATTATTTATTATTTGGGCTGTATGTTCTAAAATATATTAAAAGAGTGCAACATACACCTTATAAAAGCATTAACAAAATGGTAGTAGACTAGGACCCACCAGTAAGTGTAGTCAGGCTGGTAGAGTTGCTCGAAGGGCATCATGTTAAAGGTGTAGCAATGTCCGTGCCACAGCAATACTTGTTGGAGAAAGTCACATGGCTTGACTAACAAGACCCGTTGCCACTCTAAGGCTGGGAACTCCTCCTCACAAAAATCGTTCCTTTTCTTTGGAAACAGAACACCAATAAAAATTATAAAGAAGAAACTAAACACAAAGTACCTATATTTAAGAGGGTTATTTGTCTACTTTTTGAATTTATAACTAAGATTTCCATTTATACTTATTATTATCAACATAATTATTCAAATTATTGCGGTTTGTTTGTGACTTGACTTTACAACTAACTCCAACTTCAAACGCAACTTCATGGCCAAATCTCCCAAAATGACACTAGAGGTTAATCCATTAGCCAAGTACAGGATGATGACCGAGGTGAAGAGGGAATGAATTTAACTTGCACAGCGTAAGGGTAAAATCCTCTCTTTGAAGCAAGAATGTTCCTGCTTTCTGAACAGCAATATTTTTAATCAAATCAAAAAAGGATTTACTCTGCCTATCACTGATAAAATTTAAGTAGTTTTTTTTTCAACAAAGATGGCTATCCACCGTTACTATTTGAATTCTATCAGAAGGTTTATCCAAAAGGAGATGGGTACCAGTTGTCTCAGTATTATTAACTGTGATGAAGTACCGGACATGTAGGCAATGAGGTAATCAACCGCATTTTGTAACGAGTGCGAAAGTGATTATTTGTTTACTCTTTTTTAGCTAATTTCCCATATAGGGAATAAGCTATTACTTTAGGTCTCATGGTAAGACCTAGACCCGGGACTGATTTACTTTTTCGTTTTGAGGTTCCCAGAGGCCAAAAACACCCTCCGTTCAAATTCATATATTAATCCATGCAAATAAAGATACCTAGTAGTCTATAGTTTTGTTCTTTTTTATCAAACTTTACCTGGTAAATTTCTTCAATAATAGAAACATTCAAGTGTTGAAAGAAGTTTTCTCTCTGCTCTCCGAATGCACAAAAGTAATTGGCGAAATCCAGTTGAAATTGCCTGAAACATTTAGACTTTATCACACATCTTATATGCTATAAAAAACTTTTGCAACACCTCTCGACAGCTAGCTTGGCCATACTACACTGAACCGAATTACACGCGGTTGGTACCAAATGAAAGATATTTTCCTGTAGATGTGCAGAATCCCTTTATAAACTAGGATTGTTTTCATAGCTGTGAAAGCCACTTGAGCTGAGCAATCGTGTTTCATGGTTTTTAATAAAGCAATAAATGAAAATACGTTTATAGGTATGATAAAAAAAATTCGCTAATACAAAGAATGTTCCCACACTCTGCCCTGCTAGCCTTTACTACTTCCTTTACCACTTCCTAAGTCATGAACCTGTTTCTCTCCCTTCCTAGAGCATTTTAAGATTGCAGATAGATTTTTTCTAACTTTCACAGACTGTTCTCACACACCTGGCCTTTACTACTTCCTTCACCACTTTCTACTAAGCACTAACTACTACACTTATTACTAGCTGGCCCGACAGATGTTGTCCTGTCCTAATGTGGTTTTATGTCAATGCTCGTTCATTTTCAAGATGAGCTCGTTCGCATAACTCAATCACGTCCTGGTTGAAGTTCGTTTGCTACGCTCAGTCACCTTTTTGGTTGCAAATTAGCTGTTGTCATAAATTTAAAAAAAATAATAGTGCTGCACCCTGTTGGTAAACCTATTAATTTTTTAAGGCTATTGATCATCACAGAATCAAACTGTTTAGTTGAACCATAGACAAAAAGAATTAAATATAGACCGTCAGCTGTGCTGCGGTTACCATAGGTTCTGGCGCACACCGCTTGGAGCGCCATGTAGTTAGGGCGTATCCGCTACATAAACTACAGCGGTGTGCGCCGGAACCTATGGTAACCATGGTAACTGCAGCACGGCTGACAGTCTATATTTAATTCTTTTTGTCTATGGTTGAACCAGCTGTTAAAGATTCTTTAACTCCATTTAAATATGAGTACTCTAAGGTTAACATGGGAAACTCCAGAGCCACTGGGGCGGAGCCCTTTTGACGGATCTGCACCAAACTTCACACAAACCATCCTTGAATAATGCTTAATAATGCCTGAAAGTTTCATTACAATCTGTCAAGCGGTTTCGGAGTCCATAAAGGACAAACAAACATACATTGGATTTTATATATATATAGATTCATACTATTTTAATGTTTTTTGTTTTCGTGTCGTCCGTGATTTAAATGTGTTTTTGACGAGTTGTAAGCTTTGAAAATGTTGTCTTTACAACAAAACATGTAAGCTGATGAGCAATATTAATCGTAACAATATAGTCCCAGGGCCAGAAAAATGAATTAAAAAAAATTTTCTTACAATTTGTTTTCTGTCTTTAAGTGTACTAGCTTATTTTTTTATTTTTAACCCCCTACCCTGGAGCCACCACTTGTAGTTTGATCAGAAGAGACAAAGTTAAGTTTTTTAAACAGTTCCTGTGATCAGTGGTTCCCAAACTATGGGTTTGCTACTCATTGTCTCGTGGGGGCAATTTTGGTTGGGTCGCAAGGAGAAATTTGACATGTACATGTTATCGGTCCCGAAAACAGGTAATCTTTCACTCCTACAGTCAAATATAAACATTCAAGGGGCTGTTTATTCAAATATAAAAGTGATTTATAACTCTAAACTTGGTATGTTTAAAAATTAAATGTTTTGGAAATGATTAACCTATTACCGAATTTGAGGTAAAGGTTAATACTTTAATACTTTTCAATGAAATGGCGACCATACAAAGGATAGTAATTGGATCTATTTTGAGTTGGAAATCTCATTCTAAAATTGCTACTGTGGAAAATGTCTGCAAATTTTTGCATTTGAAAATGAACAATCTGAATTGGCAACAAGCCAATCTGGCCCATTCTTGTTTCAACGAATTGATACATATAAATACCCCCACCGCAGCAAACCTGCAGACAAAGCAAATTTCCATTTCCCTGAATGGATTTACACTAAAATGTCTCCTTAAAAATATCACATTTATTCCCTATTTAAATAGAATCAGTTTAAAACATACTTAGGTTTGCTGCAACAGGGAGGGTATAAGTGTTTTTTATGTAAAATGTTAATAGTTAGTAAGAAATAAAAACATTTTCCAAATTTGGGCAAAATATGTTTATAAACAAGCAAAATACAACAGTTTACTTATTCTCCATAAGAATAACATGGGAATTTTAAATTTACAATTTTTTTGAATTTTCTCCGTAACCATTAGGCGCATTACAACGCCTCAATATACTAAATTATTTGTTTTTTGTTATTTGTCTCTACAAAACAGTTTCGAAAGAAATTGCAAAATTTTATGTTTTTTGGGTCAAAAATGGGAAAAACCCATTTTTACCCCATAAAAGCCCCCATAAACCCCCGTTCCCATGGTTCGATCATGCTGGTTCGCGAACTCGTTCGAATAAACTTAGGTTTACACGTTTGTACCAAATTTCATCAAAATCGGATCATTTTTGCTCGAGTTATCGCGCTAACGGACATATATATATATATATATATATATATATATATATGAATTTGAACGGATGGTGTTTTTGACCTCTAGGGACCTCAAAACGAAAAAAAAAAATCGGTCCCGGGTCCAGGTCTTACCGTGAGTACTACGGTAATAGCTTATTCCCTATATGGGAAATTCGCTAAAATAATCACAATGTCTCAATAATCACGTGAGATGGTTATGGTGTTGCAGCGTACGCTGGAGATGATTACAACATCGTCATGATCGTTGAAGATGATCACGATTATGCCGTGAATAATGGATTATAGTCGGTGGCTTTTTATGCACAATGTGTGGATGCTTAAAATTAGAAAACTTCCACCAATTCAGTAGTTTTGCAAAAATATGGTTCGATACACAACAAGTAATTTGAGTTGGAGGGGACCTTGCACTTTGAAGTCATTAAAAAATAAATATAGAATTAGGCTTATGGATGGAAAAGGCTACCTTTATCTCCAGGCCGCGGCGTTCGAAGTGGCAACACTGTCATTAGTTCTGTTTGTTTGGAGGCATCTATAATGTGGCCCCCGAAACAAACTGATTTACATGCCTCGCAGATAAATACAGTTCATCCTAAATTAGTGATATAGATACCATTTTTATCTGCATGAGCTGTAGATTATGATGATATAAATCCAAAAAATTTGCTAAATCATTTGAAGAATCATGTTTTATCAGCATAAAAGGAATCTGTAAGTTTGGAAAGTTTAAAAAATGTGTTTTAGTTTTAAGAAAATAAAATTTACCTGCTACAAAATTTACTATGTAAACGCTAGATGCCCATTGGCACTGCAGCTACGCAACTGAGTTTTACGAGTAAAAAATGTAAAGGTAATACAAACTCCTTCTTAGTGAGTGTATCCTTGGGCTTGAGTACGGTTTCTGAGTAGTTGAAGGCGGAGGGAGGGATCTGGTTGTGGCTGCAGATAGTGACAGCTGGGAAGGGGATGTCTCTGATGAGCTTACGAGTGGCTAATGTGCTGTAGACGATGGGGTTGTTGTAGTAGTGGTGGAACTGGTCAGAGATCATGCGACATGTGGCGAACACTGCAGCTGACAGCACACACACCCACAACAACCTGAGAGTAGTAGAAAATAAAAAATGGAAAAAATAAAATCTGTAGATTGAATTCTGTAAAATCAATTAACATACAGTGCTTGTATTCTAGAATTTGAGTTACCGGAGCAAAAACCTATCTTAAGGGATGGCTGGAATTAATATTCCCCCAGAAGGGGTATATTCACACTACTCTTCATCGTTTATAATCTGTCTTATCCTTTTCTCCACAAGGACTAAAGTGTTTTAGCTCAACAAAACACAACCACAACCACACAATTAGTATAATCATTTGACTATAGGTTACGTACCTTTTGTCAATTATAGATTACTTGTTTTAGAGCATTATAGGCCTACCTGCATTTTCAAACCTCAGAAGATCGTCAAAAAAGAGAAAAATACAAATATGACGTGAAATTTAAAAAAAATTTGCAAACATTATCGCATGTGCAGCCAAGATGAGGTCCAGACACCAAACTAGGAAGATGGTTTATCTAGTAATCAGAAGGTTACTGTTGTTATGATCCTGCCTGAGATATGTCAGTAACTAGTAGCTTTTGATACTTCAAAATTCTGAATCCAACTGCCCTGGTTAAAGCAATTCCGGATAAAGGACCAACAGATCTTAGTCAATAAGATGTCATCACATTCATTTAACACTTCAACTTAAAATACACATTTTGGTGTGTCAGGGCCATTTAAATCTAATATAATTTGAAATGAGTCGAGCAAATGAAGACTTAACTTACCTTTCCTTCCAAGAACATTTGTGGTCACTCAGATATTTAAAGCAGTGCAGTGACGTTGCGCTACAGCAGTAAGCAAGATGTTGCAGCAGTAACCGCCATGTGGACAGCATGAACTTTGGCTTCTCCTTCTTACTCTTCTTTTCATTATCTGTTGCCCAAGCAGGTCTCTGTGGTGTCATAATTCTTTGGTCACAAATAAGAAACCACTTTAAATACCACAGAAAAAAATAAAAAATAATCTTAGACCCTCTAGTAATGTTACACTAATTTTGAGAGTATTACTAGCCTAAGCCTAGTGGTTAGCGTCTCGGAATTGATGTGAGATTGACGGGTTCAATACACAGTGTGTTAAAGCTTGAAGACTCTATACCTACTTTGTATAGTCGCAATTTCATCAAAAAGTATTAAAGTAAAGTATTATAGTATTAAATGATTTACTATAGTTATTTGTGCAACTAGTGAGAAAAGTGAGCAATTGACTCACTCGAGAGAAATCCTTACTCACGAGCCGTAGGCGAGTGAGGAATGGTTACTCGAGTGAGGCAATTGTACTTTGAACTCGAGTTGCACATTATATTTTTCCTACAGTTACCATAAAACAAATAAATTTGTGAATAAACATAACCTATTTTTACACAGAAGTGAACTTTTAATATAACATTTAACTTGAAGTGACAAATACAACAGTACAACAGCTGACCAGCTGATTTACAGCCAGTGCTGCCAACGTATTTCGCGCGCATACGACGTTGCCTGCATGTTACGCGCTCACTATTTCGTGCCTTCACGTTGCAAATCTGGAGTGAGACAAAGTAATTAGAGTGAGACAATGTTAACATTGTCTCACTGATGAGCGAATTGGCCACTTTGCTTTCTCAAATCAGTGAGAGAACATGTACATTGTTAGGTAACTGTAGGAAAAATACTTTTTGGTGGCTGTACTTTGCCTGAATAAGCTATAAGACATTTAAGACATTTTTTAGAGCAATTTTAAAGTGATTAATTTTATACTTAAGTCGCTATATACTTGTGTTTTTTATCAAACGTAGCTTGAGATTTTAATTTTGGTTTCCCAAGCCAAAAGGTAGTAAAACTTGAATAGTCTAACAATAATAAATAAATTGTAAATTAGTATTTCCCTGCTATATATCTCAGTGAAAACTTTAATAAGAAACATACAATTATACTATTACTGTCTTCTTACCAAGGAACTATGCAACAGCTTCTTGTTTGATACAATGCTGATCTGTTTCCGCTCCATGTTCAACTCACAGCTCGCATGGAATGCTGAATATTTTATAACCTTGCTGTTGTTTTTCTCTTAGTCAACAAAACGATATTCATCAGCGACAAACAGTTAAACATTTCAGGTTAATAGCAAGTAATTGGTAAAATTACAGCATTGTTTCCCCTAAGGGAAAATGATGATACTATACTTTAAAGGGAATTAAATGAATATTTAACACCCACTTCATTGTAGAAAAATTGTCGTTTCGTTACCAAACTTTGGTTGCGACTGAGTTTGATCAATGGATTTTTTAAATGTATACTGGTGTACTGATGTTTTAAAATATGTCTATGATAAATAGCAAAATTATATTTTGAATTTACAGGTTTTACAGGCCCATTTAATATTGTAGGACATGATAAAATGGTGGCTTTCAAATAAATTTACTCAGCTCAGCATAGCTCATTTAATTGAGTTTTTTTTAACAAGTTTTTTACATAAAGCTCTAAAACAAGAATCTTAATCTTGATTTAGTCTTAGTATACTTGTTTGGTTAAGTACATTGTTAAAGAGAGCAATTTGTATAAGAAGAAATAGGGTATTTGGTATTAGTTCTTTGCTGAAAAGAGAACCAGAAACAATCAACAAAGCAAGTTATTTAACATGTCTTTTGTTTATTACTTTTGTTAGAAAATATTCCCCAACACTGTATTAACCAACCATTATCAACAGAGTTCATAGTTCAATAACTTTTGGTTTTGAAATACATACATAAACTGTAGGTAAAACAAACAAACATTATACTTTTAAAACTGAAATTTTATTCCAGGAACTAAAACAAATACTGACAACCATTATTATACACTTTTTGAAAATACTGTCATTTGGTAACTAACTCTAAAATTTGATTTAGAATCTAGGTAAAAACTATTTTTTAACAAGAATTGAACATTAAACTGAAATGTATTTTCACAGGATAAATTAAGACATAACAAAATAATAATACCAAAAATCCATTTAAGTGAAACATTATTCAATTATGTTACAAAACATATGTTTACTGAAGTACAAACATGAGTTTTCAGAGCAAGTTAATTCCGCATGAATACAAAACTCAAAGAATTTATAGACCCTAGTATGTAACAGTGAAAACAAGATAAAATACACATTATTAATGAAATATTATACAATCAAAACAGTAAAAAACGGTATTCCAGATTATGGTATTTTCATAATAAAAGACATATCGGTACATTTTTAACTTGTGTAAAACAGCACCACACCTATGGTTAGCACAAGTTTCATTGTAAGCATCAACACTTAATTATTGTAAAAACTTAGATATTTAATTTTAAATCTCACTTATTATTGAAAAAAATTACCATTCTGTAACAGAATAAAAATCTATATAACTCATGAGTAATTGTATATTTTTTATTCTTGATGAAAACAAAGTTAACTAAAAACAACAGCATCAGGCAAACCTTTTATATTTCAAGGTACATATAGCTAAAGAATGAAAAACAACTAGTAAATACTTAATAAATATTGGTTTATTAACCCTAAGTTTGATTCTTTAAATAAAATGAAAGACTCTAAGCAGATATTCCTTAAACTGGAAACATAATGTATAATAGCTAACACAAGACTAAACTCAAGCACAATCAACAATACTAATACTATATTGTCGCCAATAAAAACAAAGAAGATATTTAATAACATTTGAAAGAAAAACATCAGAAATATTTTTAGGTTATAATGTAAAGGTGAAAAAATTAAAATTAGACAAAAACTTTGTGTAAAGCTTTTTGATTACAAATGTTTAAGTCCTAATTTATTTATGAATGCACAAAATCGATATCTGGTAACTATAACACCTCAGTAAAATAAATAAGTTTAGGTTGAGCGTATACAGCCTACCGGGGTCTCAATATTTGATGTAATAACCTTTAATCAATATATTGATTAGCTAACGTGGTTTAGAAAAAACAACTACATTATGAAGTAATAACCTTTGACTATTAATACAACAATATCTAATAGTCATAGACTTCAGTATCTAATAGTCAATGGTAAAAACTCTATCAATTGTTTGTAAAAATGAATGTAAGAAATGTGAGAAGTAATTAGTTGGGCATGATCTATTTTTTCTTCATAAAATGTTTGAAGATTGCTAAAAAAATGTATGTGGTTTGATGTATAACTATGTTCAGTCATTGTAATGTATGATAAAATAATGTAAATCTAATGACCTAGTCAGAAAAATGCCATAGCCACATAACAATATTTATTAAGTTTGTAAATATATTAAACATGATGTTAGGCCGGGCTTATGCTGAGACACACGCAGCGCAACACACACAACCCAAAACATGGCAGAAAACTGTGCCATCCTGTTTCCTTACAGCGTCGCGTAAGCTCAGTCGCACACGTCTATGTGTCTGGCACACACTATTGCCGCATTACCGTATAGTAAGCTTAATAACTACAGACTACGAAAAAAAAACTAACATTTAAAACTCACATCACTCAAAATTTAAAACTATCCATTCTTACAAAAATAAAAAAAATACTAAACTGTTGTAGTTGGTTAGTTTATGGATATATTTTCATTAAATTTGATAAGATTATTTAATGACAATTAGCTGTTAGCATTTCACTAAAAAATATGTTTGACAAGATGTCACTAAAATAGGGAGAACATTAAATTCCCATATTGGACTCAGAGGAGTTGCTACTACAGTACTGTATCGTCAATCTTGGCGATTGCATAGTGTGTGTGCTGCGCCCCAAAATACGCTGGTCAAAAATACGTGTGCTGCAAAACAAAAGTGAAACTTGGATTGTGTGCATTGTGTCACGTGCGTCCCAGCATAAGCCCAGCTTTAAAAAACTTGGCATATAAAAAAAATATACAATGTACCGGTAATTTATGAAACAGATCGAACAAGTCATATTTTATTCTCAATACCGTTCAACCAAAAGTAAAGAAAGTAGCCTATATTAGATTAACCACAAGTTAAATCCAGAACTTCAAATATACATAAACATATAATAATAAGTTTATACTGTACACGTTTTTAGATGAAGTTTATTAATTTACCAAATTCTTAATACTTATCTTTTTTTATGGGCTGGCTTGTTTACAAATTGTTCTATTAGGACACAGCATTTTGTTATATAGTTGAATGAATGTGATTTGTTTGCCTCTCTTAAGAATATATTTTTATACAACACTACATTTGAGCGACTGCTTTAGAGAGAAACTGTGTTGTATATTGGTTTAACGGGTATTTGTTGAAACAGTATGAAATGGAATTATAAAGCACTTAAAACATAAAACAAGAAAATCTAAATTATATTGCACAAACATTCCTTTGTCAGACCATATGAAGGTAGAGTAAAATAGTTACTCAAGATACATAATAAATAACATACATAAATAACACTAGAGAAAGACAATATCCAGATTTAAGTGCTACCAACAGCACCATTGTAGCAAGGCATCTGTTATCGAATTCATTCGCTTGGCACTACTTAGTAGGCGTTTTAACAACTATTTTCCTATTTAACTAATTTTAAAGATCTAAAATAACAGTCAAAACAAAATAAATCTAATCTAAAAAGCTGATACGAGTAATCGAAAATATGACAATTAAAATAGTCAATTGTCTATAAAGCTAAAGTTGATTTATAGATAAATAATGAAAGACGTGGTTGCAAAGATGTCTGAGACTCACGATACAACCGGCTCCTGAAACAGAAACATATTCTAATCAATTGTTTCTCATTTTATAAAAAAATGTGTTTAAGCCTGATAGTTCTGATCCACAAAAGTGTATTTACTTTTTTATTTAATACATTTTCACATTGAACAACCGTGACCCCCTTTTTAATAAATTAAGATAAAAATCTACTTATGTAGTAAGTTGTAAAACGTAGGTTATTAAAACGTTTTTATTAGCTCGCTTTCTTGTCTGGTACAAATTTTGCAACCAATTTTATACAGTACTAACTTCCCGATGATATAGAGACTTGAAACTTGAAACATAGCTCACAAAGTCACAAGTGAATGACAATGCAATATTATATAATTTAATTTTCATATTTCCCTTGGGCTACGCCCCATGGGCTTGTTTTTATTAGATTGCTTTCTTACAAATGTTGATATCAATTTCAAACGAAGTTCTCGATGAGCTAGAGACTTGAAACTTGAAAGATAGCTCACAAATGGATGACAATTCAATATTATATCATATAATTTTCATATTTCCCTTAGGCTACGCCCCATGGGCTTCCAAAGTTTCCTTGTTTACATTTTGAAATAATGTAAATACATCAATTAATTTAAGTCAGCTGTAAATACTTAAATTTGACAGTTCGAAGAACAGATGTTAGAACCTGAGTAGTACCTGAGTAGTACCTGAGATATTCTAAAAGTATAAAACAAGCATTTCAAAGTAAAGATAAAACATCTGATTACAGATAATAAGGGTTTGGTTATGTATTAACAGGCCATATAAAATAGACTTAACATATTTACATATTAAAGACTAAAAAGTTTTTTTTTTTTTTTTAGGGAGAGGAGGGAAAATGCTTTTACGCACACAGGTAGCCAGCCTGTAGTGTGAGACTCCTGAAAATTGTCAGACTACTCACTAAAAAACCCCCTCTACTCTGTTGGACACAGACCTGGAATTGTTTGTCACATTACTTCAAGTCAGGCCAACATGTGACCTAAGCCCTCAGGGCTCGCACCGTTTCTGGCATTTCGATTCTTAATGACCTACAACCGCATCCCGGTCAAGGTCGATCTTCTTGGCGCGGAGAATACCCTGGATATAATGTGACACACAGGTCCAATTGTCCTCACCCTCCGTCATAATCGGTATGACCGTGTCCACCGACAGCAGTCCTATTAATTGTTGAGCCTCCAGGCGGGGCCTTTCCCAGCGCTGGCAGTGGAAAAATGTATGTTCCACGTCATCGAGAATGCCTGGGCAGTATATGCAGTCGGGTGACACGGCTTTGCC